TGACCAAGTACTTGGCGACATTTTCTGGTGAAGATGTGCATACGTCCAGATCGGAAGAGATCCTCGTTTCGTAACCGATATTGATTCGGTACACCATCTCCAGAGCAGTGTTGTTCTCAATGCGAAACGTGTTTTCGCAGCCTACATAAGCAACCCCAACTGGGCTTTGGGGTGAAGTGTAGTAAAGATATGGGGGCATGGAGATAATTTCAATCCCATTGATAAACGCGTAGGCATCTGGGCTTGTTTTGCTTGGAGTGAACGTGATATTCAAAGGCTGTCCTGACTCAGTGTGGAGGCAGAACTTTCTGTACATGGTATCCAAGCCAGAAGCATCAGCCGTGGCTGAAGCATTGAAGTCGTGGAGAAGGGTAAAACCGCCGGCTTCGACTGAGAAGAGGGCTTGGGACCGGTCGAAGTTGGGGGCGTATGAAGCTAGGTAGAAATACAAGCGGATGAACTTTGGGCCGGAAGAGAGTGGAAATGTGTAGGGAAATTCAAAGCGGGAAAGCCTTGCTGTGCTGTAAGGCGTGGTGAAATTTACTTCTTTGGATATCGATTTGTTAACAGCTGCTTGGAATTTGAATGGAAAAGGTTCTGAGTGCATATCTCGATACCACGGTCGGTCGTAGTTTTCGCTAAATTGGAAACCGGACGAGCCACATTGAAGGGTGATTTGTTCAGACAAATGGTAGATTGGCGGTGAGTCCCCGGCCATGCACATGGTTATCATATGGATAAAAAAGGGAAGGAGAAGAGGAGTGAGAATCTTATTACGGTGTTTTTTGTTGGGGTTCTCCATGATTTTAAGAAAAACATAGAAAGGGTGACTCATTTTCTCACTGGAATTTGGAGTCTCTTAACGAAGCCGTTTACACTGCCTATCGCAATGTTTGCTTGTAAATGACCGCTTTAATGTCTTGCTTAATAACAAGTCTACCTAGAGTCTTTGTGTAAAGAGAAAAAAAAAACCCGTTTTGCTGTGGAGTTTCCCAAACACTGAAATGCCTCATAATTCCTTCCTCTTTGCAAACTTCAAAAAAATGGTCAAATGTGTATTCACCACCATTATCTGATCTCAAAATCTTAATCTTCCTCCTAATCTGGTTCTCAACTATTTTCTTCCAACCTAAGAAAATACTCAACACCTCACTCTTGTGCTTCATAGCGTAGACCCAAGACCTTCTAGAATAATCATTAACAAAGGTCACGAACCAATATCTACCACTCAAAGAGGGAGTCTTTGTGGAACCCCAAATATCTGAATGCACATAATCAAGAATGACCTTCGTTTGATGTACTGCAGTACCAAACTTTATTCTAGTTTGCTTCCCCAAGACACAATGCTTGCAGAAATCAAGCTTATAGGTCGTGACACATTTTAGAAGACCTTGTTTCAGTAACCCTTGTAGAGCTTTCTCACCGGCATGCCTTAATCTCATATGCCATAGTCTAGTAGTATTTGAATCAAATGTGACCATATTTTCTGAGACTACCACTGCTTCCCTTGTCACAGTGCTTCTTTGCAATAGATACAAATGATCGCATCGAGGAGCTTTCATTACAAGAAGTGTGCCATAAGTAACTTTCAATGTCTGCCCATCTAAATAAAACCTGAAGTCCTTGGATTCTAAAGTACCCAAAGAAATAAGACTTTTTTTTCTTCAAATTCATACATACCGAACCCCTATCGACTCTTTAACCATACCATCATGCAACTTCAAACGAACTGTACCAATCCCTTTCATTGTATAATGATTGTCATCTCTCATGAAAACGACACCACCGTCAAACTCTTTCAAGGTTAAAAACCAATCATTATGAGGAGTCAAATGATGAGTACAACCTGTATCCAACACCCACTTGGTAGAACAATCAAATGATGATGAAGCGGTTAAAGCAAAGTTAGAAAAATCATTCTCAAGCTCAACAATATTAGCTTCAGAACTCACTTTGCCTTATTTTTGTTCTTCAGCCTAGGGCAATCTTTCTTTCAATGCCCCTTAGTATGATAGAAAGCACATTCATCCTTTTTCATACTTTTTTCACCTTTAGAATTTCCTCTAGGTCGAGACTTTGATTTTTTCTTACTAGAGAAAAATTTCCTCTCCAATGATCTACCTCTAACAAATAAAGCCTCAGAGATACTAGCATGATTAATATCTCTATGCCTCATTTCATAATTCATCAAGGCATTCGACACATCTTCAAATTTCACAGTTTCTTTACCATGCATAATAGTAGTAACAAAATGCTCATAAAAATCCGATAAAGAATTCAACAATGTTAAGGCCTTATCTTCTTCCTTAATATCCTCATTTAAATTCATCAAATTGACAATCAACTTATTAAAAGTATCAAGGTGTCTAATCATTTTTGTACCTTCTTTATATTGGAAGCAGTATAGTTTTTTTTTTCAAGTATAGCCGGTTCTCCGCACTCTTCGCCATATACTTGTCTTCTAATTTTTGCCACAACACTTTTGACAACGTCTCCCACATCACAAAATACTTTTGAGTTTTTGTAAGGCACAACCGAATTGTGGAGAAAGCTCACAAATTCAATTTCTCCCAATTTGACTTTGACATAGTTTCCAGCTTATCTCCCAAAGCTGCAAGTAGATCTTGTTGAGCCAACACATCATTAACCTCACATTGCCACATCTCGAAGTTGTTTGTATCATCAAACTTTTCCACTTCAAACTTTGCATTTTGCACCATAATTCTTGCAAATCCTAAGCTGCTTCCAAAAAGATTCTCATCTTGCTATTCTGACATTTTTAGCTACAAGACAGTACCCAAGAGCAACCAATGCTCTGATACCAATTGTTGTGATAAGATAACACCAAACCAATTGAAAATCAACTCAAGCTAACCCATAGGAAATATATCAAATGAAATGTAAGAACAAAAATAAAAAAGACACTAAGATTTAACGAGATTCCTCGACAATCAGTGTAACTGGAGTATGTTCTCAAAGCAGTAGGAACTCACAAATAATCCACTATCAATAAAATGGGAGTGTATATAATGTGTTGGTAATCTCACAACTCACAACCCCAATACACCCAATAGCTCTCACACACTAAAGAAACAAATAGAGAAGAAAATATAGAGAATAATTTCCTCTCTATACAAAGCTCAAACCTAACACACCAACTACAATTTTGATGGAGTAATTGCTAACCAAAGAGAGGAGCATTTTTCTTCTTCTCTTCAAAATGGGGCTGCGGCACCCTTTTTTCTCTTCTTTGCTGCTGCTTAAACCAAAGGGCAGCAGCTGCATGCCTTACTAAAGAACCCTAGCCACCCCGTGGCTTTTAAAAAGGGCTAAATAAAAGGCCCATTGAATGGGCTGGTGAGATCAACTAAAGGCCCAATAGAATTTGACAACAAATCCAACAAGATGAAAATTGGTTTCGTCATGGTAAATTTTATGAAGGCGTTTATTTGTTGCTTTGGCTGTATGCATGAATACACTTAGCTCTTGTTTATCGGTATGTCATGTGTGGTTGTGTCTCTCTCATTCCAAGTTCTTGAGATTTAAGTTTATCAGACTTTTCTCGGATAAACACTGATTAAGTCTTTGGCATGTATGCAATTCAATTGGGATTCGGAAAGTGATTTCTGTACATTTTTTTTAATTTTTGTACACGTTTTCTTACTTATTTCCATTGATTTTTCTTTCGATTTGTTTAAACGAATGACTAGAAAAAAAATGATTGTGTAAGAAAGAAAGAAAAAAAAAAGGTGTGCATAAGTCATTTCCTCAAATCTTTATGCATGTACTTTAATCAGTGTTTAAAATATCGATATAGGTGAAAATATCGATATGCAATTTTAGGAAATATCGATGAATATATCAATATTGGTCGCCTTCGACGGAAACTTGCAATGGGTTGGTATATCAACTCATTCAAATTTAGTCCAAATTAGAGAAAAAATTCTCAAAAAAAATAAAAATAAATTCAAAAGCTCTAAATCTACAGTAGGTAGTGAATCAATAAATATCGTTGATATTTATTTGTTTTCTTATATCTCGTCAATAGATGGTGAAGTTTGCATTTAACCCCTTTTCCATATTGATCCTTGATTTTTCAATATTTCAACGGAAATATCAACAATTTCGTAAATATTTTAAATGTAGATATTTTGAACACTGACTTCAATATAAGAGAACAAATTGAGCTAAGTGTTGGCGTCCTTATGTAACGGGATGTGTTTAAAGGACGTAAAGTTTCACGTCGAAACCTAGTGAATCAAATACAACATATAATGCGTGGAAAAACAAAATACGATATATAGTTGGTGGTTTCATTTCGAGTTAACATCTCCACTCCAAAATCGTTTATCATAGTCATTGACTACCTTACCGGAATAACAACATTTAACGGTGATATCTTCGATTGCAGGCCCATAGGCGGGCTGTGAATCGCCGGCCACAAATATGGGGACGGTGATCATGTGGAGAAACAAGGAAAGGTAAAGACGAGTGATGAGAATTGGTTTCATCTGCATGGTAATACTGTTTGTTGCTTGGGTTTATTTTTGATTTCTGGTGTGATACACTTGACACTAGATATATGTATGGTTGTGCCTTGTGCGTCCCTTATGATCATCAAAGACTTTAAAGTCATTTAGTTTTTGGCCCATAATTTGACAGCACGGTCTTTTGGATTGATTACGGGAGATAACGCGGTAACAAAAGTTGCCTACTTTTGTTCAGAGGATGTGGTTGGAGGATTATACCGATCGAAGACTTGACTACTTTTGTTCTTGATGAAGAGATAGACTTGAGTTATTTGAGCAGGAAGGTGGCCCCCTTAGATATTTTGCTTCATCTTCTTCACATTTACATGTCTGCAGCTTCTTCATTTTTCACATGCTGCCTGGTGAAAAGTTTACTTAACTAGGAATTTTTGTACAAAGTCCGAACTAATCACATCGGATACGGACTATTTGGTACCGAGTACAGTGATTAAGAATGCAATTAGAACATGATTCTCTTGAATTAGTACTGACTATTTAGTACTGAGTATTTTGGATTAATCACATCGGATACGGATTATTTAGTACTGAGTATTTTGAATTTAAATACAACTGATATGAAATTTGACGCAACATATTTTACTAATATCCTATTCAAATTCTATTGCATTCTAGCTGCACTGCTCCCATTTCATTGAAGATGTTGCTCGCGTCATCTTCCAATCGGATCGTTGATCTCAGAGAAGATTGTCGCGGAGATACATTGGACGGATTCATTGCTAGCAAAACCTTGCTCGGTACTAACGCCACCGTCATTTATGAAGGTAACCTCGTTGTCACCATTACTTCCAATGCTCTTTCGATGAAGCTGCAATGCAAGCTCAAGCCCCCTCACAACCTCATTCATCGAGGGTCGTTCGATTCCTTTATCTTGAATGCAACTCATAGCAATCTCAATGAACTTATTCAAGCACTCGGGTTCAATCTTACCCTTCAAATTACGGTCAATGATTTGATCAAGCGTCCCATCTCCATGACAACTCTTTGCCCACTCAGCTAAGATCCTTCGCCTCGACTCCACCGTATGCATCAGAGAGGACCTCCCACACAATACCTCCCACAACACCACACCAAATGAGTACACATCGGACTTCTCAGTCAGCTGCCGTCGTCTGTAGTATTCAGGGTCCAAATAACCGAAACTGCCTTTCACGGCCGTGCTGATGTGGGTCTTGGACATGGTTGTCATGCCCATTTTCGACAATCCAAAATCCGAAACCTTGGCCACCCATTTCTCATCCAACAAGATGTTGGTGCTCTTTACGTCACGGTGGATGATGGTGCTCTTGGCCCCACTGTGAAGGTACTGCAACCCACGAGCCGTGCCAATACAGATCAGAAGCCGCTGCTCCCAGGAAAGAGGTGGCTTGTTCGTGTGGTAGAGATGGCTGGCGAGGGTCCCACGTGGCATGTAATCGTATACCAACATCATCTCGTATTCATCCGTACAATATCCGATCAGAGACACCAGATGGCGGTGGCGGAGTTGGGAGAGCAGCTCGATTTCTGTCTTGAACTCGTGGACTCCCTGTGATGAGTTAGGTTTCAGCCGTTTGATTGCGACATCGGAGGTCGCCACACCATCACCGATGCACCCTCTGTACACGGTTCCAAAGCCTCCAACTCCTATAATGAACGTGACATTGAAGTTTTCAGTAGCTGCTTTTATATCTGCAAGTGAAAAGTATGGACACAAATAAAGCGGTACAGGGGGCCCCTGGATCTTTGTTAATTTGGCCGTCTCGTTATTGGCGCTCGAGGACTTGGCTTTCCGTCGTCGCATGAAAATGAAGAATCCGAGGACAGAGATCATGACAAGTGTGCCGGAAACTAGACCAGCAGCGATGCCTAGCACATGAGCAGTTGAGGGGCTTTGTGGCTCCGCTGGTCCGCCGAGATTGCCATTTGAGTCATTCAGTTTGAAGACTTCAAGCCCATTTAAGGTTGCATAACTGTGTAAGTCATATATTGCGATAGAAAGATTTGTTTTGTCACGCATGCTTTCAGGGCCAACCATTGACACAACGTAGTCTCTGTACACTGGAATCCCATATCCACCACTCCATAAGAAGATGTTGGCTCTTTCTTCAGCTGTTTGGTTGGCTATGTAAATTTGAAAGTCTCCAGATCCGTTCCGGTCGCCTCTGTCAGATTGGAACTCACAAAAATGCATCCTAACCAGGTAAGAAAACTTGGAATCTACAGGGAATTCCCAGGTGAGATTGTACGGCCGTGGACTTGCTTCCGGTCTGCTCCCTGATCGGCCTGTTTGGTAAACTTCGAATGGTGCAGTGTACTCTGGTATTATGGAAAAGTTGAGACCAACAGAAGGGCTTTGTAGTGGACCGCTAAAACGTAAACTTAATGCATCTAAATAATTTTTCTCCTCTGCCACACCATCCCAGTTGCGGTACAATCTGAAGAACAATCCAGTGTCCGAATTGAACAATCCGGTGTCCGAATTGTATAAAATTGGGTCCCCACCGATGTTCAAGCGGTAAACCATCTCTAGAGCAGTGTTGTTTTCTATTCGAAGAAACTTCTTTCCTCTAGTACCAACAGAATAAACCCCACTGGGGCTCTGGGATTCGGTGTAGTAGAGATTGCTTGGCATGTCTACAATCTCAATTCCGTTGATAAATGCGTATGCATCTGGGCTTGCTGTTCTGGTTGGAGTAAATGTGATGTTCAAGCTTTGCTCTTGATCATCAATGTTCAAACAGAACTCTCTGTAGAACGTCTCCTCCCCATACACATCTGCAATGGCTGAAGCATTGAAATTGTGGAGAAGGGTAAAGCCACCGGCTTTGACAGAAAAGAGCGCTTGGGAGCGGTTGAAGTCGCGATACGAAGCTGGATAGAAATACAAGCGGATGAACTTTTGGCCTGCGGTACTAAAGGAAAATCTGTAAGTAAATTCAAGGCGAGAAAGACGTGCCATGGTGTAAGGAACTTGGCTGGCGGAGGAGGAGGACGACAAAGGGGCTTCTTTGGTGATGGATGTGTTGCCAGCTTGGCGTTCTTCTGAGGGAGAATATATTGAGTGCTTATCTCCAGTCCAAGATCGATCGTTAAGAATTTGGGGGCCACTATGCCCACACGCAATGGCGATCATAGACTCACATGCAATGGTGATCACATCGCCTGGAGGGTAGGCAGGCGGCGAGTCTTCTCCGGCCACAAGTAGCGTGAGGATCATGTGTAGAAACATGGATGACAAGTAAGGGATGTTCTTCATGAGAGAGAGGGAGAGGATGAAGCTCAAAAATTGCTTAGAATATGCAAGCTGCTTGGGTTCTTGTTTTTCTTTGTACGAAGAGTAATGGCATCTGATGTGAAAAATTTGCAAAAAGAAAAGAGAAAGATTCCTCGTATACTACAATCATCATTTAATTAACTAATTTTTTTTAATTATTAATTTATTAAATAATAAATTAAATTTAAAAATTTAATTAATTCAAATGATATAGATCACATCGTCATCTAAAATAATATGAAAATATGGTACAAAAATATAATATGAATAGCATATGCAATGAACCTGTGTGAACAACCTGTGTGAACATGAGATTTTTGAGTTTGAAAATATAAATATTTTATCTTTTTTTTTTTGGTCTGATATTACTCGTCAAATTTCCTATTGATAGATTTTTGACAAATATGAGGGTAGTAATAATTATATTCGGTCGCTTTTGAGTCGGCAGTGTGGACTTGAGGGATATTTAAACTCATTGACTTGCGCTCTTGCAAGACACCCGTCAATTACGTAATCGGTACTCAAAATAAATGTCGCTTGTACGTGGCTTCAAACATTAATTATCAAATTTTTATAAACTTAACTTTTTAAATTTTATTATCGTAAACTTAATATATGTGAAATAATAATTGAGATTATAGAGAGATCACATTCATTTTGAAACAATACTTAACTACTCAAAGATAAGCAGGAACTCTTACTCAAAATTTCTCAAAATTGTTCATTATCGATTTATAGAATTTCGTGTTTATAATCAAAATCATTCATATTATAAATTATCCTATAAAGATCGCCTTTGCCGAAAATCCATTAAAACTAAGATCGACTCATCAAACTATTTAAAAACAAATAAACAATATTGGTAAAAGTATTACGAACTGTCTATGTATTTGCTATAATAGATTGATTAAACGATCTTAGTTTTAATTTATTTTTTATAGAGAAGATCTTTACAGTGTGATTCATAGTATGAACGGTTCTGATCATAAATACAAAACTCTATGATTAAAACACTAAGAGTTTTAAGTAGGAGTTCCTACTCATCTTTAAGTAGCCAAGTATTGTTCTTCATTTTGAGTGCAAAAGATTTGATCTCATCAATTACTCGTATAAGATTTGTTTGATATATATATTAAATAAATAATAATCCACCCAATTGAGAAGAAGTATTATACTAATCTTTTTAGTAAAATCTTTATGATTGTTTGGTTTTTATGTTTGGTTTAGAGGAGTTTGCAGGTATGGAGTTTTTTATGAGTGTTTCGTTGAGTTTTTTTTACAGATGTGCACATGGTGAGGGTAAAATTTAACTTTGAAAATTGAATGGTGGGTTTTGGATGTTGGCCTGAGAAGGGCGGTTGGAATTTGGGTGGTCGCTGGAGTGGGTGGTCGGAAATTTGGCCGCTACTATTAGCCATCCTTAGCTCCGCGTCACTGTGTGGAGAATTAAGTTTGAAAGATAGCATAGTTTCATGAGTGCTTCCGAATTTGCATCAGTTAGTATCAGATCCGCATCAGTTATTATCAGATCTAACTGTATGGTGGGATTCTCGTGGAGTCAAATTTTATGACTTACAATAGGTGATCTCGAGACGAACTAATGGAAGTTCATCAACGTCGTTATCCATATGACGAAATGATGAAAAGAGAATGATTCTTCATCTAACCAAATCTCTCACATTGAAAATCGACGACAAGTTGTTGTGGAATTTGATGGGAATGATGCGTTTGTTTACAGTTTGTTACTGACATAGAAACTTTAAACTAAGATGGTGACGCCACTTGTTAGAGGACAAGTGTTGGATGCATTTTGATTTTATTGTGATTTTATTGCCACAATGGGCTAAATGGTGTCAATACAAAAATATAAACAAAGATTCTATGAAGTATGAACCATAGTGAGCTCAATGGTGCCCGCATACAACCGTAAGATACTCAATTTATGACAGCACTCGAGATTTGACGCAAAAGATGTCTCAGATATACATTGGATGGGTTCCTTTTCCGAAGAACTTTGCTCACTACTACTAGTTTAGGCGGTAGAAGGCCACCTGATTGTCATTTGTGACTATTCCTTTCAATGCAACTCTGATGAAGCTGCAACACCAACTCAAGGGCATTCACAACGTCGTTCATTGACGGCCGTTCGATTCCTTTATCATGTATGCAACTCATAGCAATATCAATGAACACATTCAAACACTTGATTTCAATCTCACCCTTCACATTTGGATCAATGATTTGGTTAAGTGTTCCGTCTCCATGACAAGTCCTAGCCCACTCAGCTAAGCTCATTTGCCTTGTCTCCACCGTATGCATTAGAGCCGGTCTCCCACACAAAACCTCAAACAACACAACACCGAACGAGTATACATCAGACTTCACAGTTAGCTGTTGAAGTCGAAAATATTCCGGATCCAGATACCCGAAACTGCCTTTGACCATCGTACTTATGTGAGTCTTAGATGTGGTAGTCATCCCCATTTTTGACAAGCCGAAATCCGAAATCTTTGCCACCCATTTCTCATCCAACAAGATGTTGGTGCTCTTAACGTCACGGTGGATAATAGTGCCCTTGGTTCCACTGTGAAGGTAGTGCAGCCCACGAGCCGCACCAATACAAATCAGAAGTCGTTGCGCCCAGGAAAGAGGTGGGTTGTTTGCGTGGTAGAGATGGCTGGCGAGGGTCCCACGTGCCATGTAATCGTATACTAAGATCATCTCATCTTCATCCGCACAATATCCAATCAGAGACACCAAATGGCGATGGCGGAGTTGGGAGAGCAGCTCGATTTCTGTCTTGAACTCGCGTGCTCCTTGTGATGATTCGGGTTTCAACCGTTTGATTGCGACGGTTGTGGTCTCACCATCAGTGATGCATCCTTTGTATACGTTTCCAAAGCCTCCAACTCCGATAATACACATGTCGTTGAAGTTTTTGGTGGCGGATTTGATCTCTTTCAGTGACACATAAAGACATAAATCAGAAGGTAAAGTTGACCTGCAGGTCATTGTTGACTTGGTCGTCGTGTAATTGGCGCCCGAGGACTTAGCTTTCCATAGTAGTCGGAAAATCAAGAATCCGAGGATCAAGATCAGGACAAGTATGCCGGAAACTTCACCAGCAACGATTTCAAACACCGTCTTCTTTGACGAATTATTTGGGGGGCTTTGCGACTCCACTGGTTTGGATGGAGCTGGGACATGGTTCGGTCCGCCGAGATTACCATTTGAATCATTCAGTTTGAAGATTTCGAGCCCATTCAATAATATTCCCTTGTTGTACTTGTCCTTCAGTGCGATAGAAAGATTTGTTTTCTTCCCCATGCTTTCATGGCCAACCATTGACACAACGTAATCTTTGTACACAGGAATCCCACGGCCATGGCCACGACGATCACAGGTCCAGAAGAAGACGTCTGCTCTTTCTTCAACTGTTTGCTTGTCTATGTAAATTTGAAACTCTTCTCCGGGTTCGTGCCAACTACAAAAATGCATTCTAATCAGGTAAGAAAACTTGGAATCTACAGGGAAGTCCCAGGTGAGGTTGTACCCAATGTTCCTGCTGGTTGGTTCCAATTCCGCTCTAATCGACAGGCCTGTTTGGTAAACTTGTTCCGGCGCCGCATATGCTGGTATTACGGCAAAGTCAGGTTCACTACCGAATTCTTGTAGGTGACTGCGCACACTTAAACTTAGCGGCTGTAAGTAATTTATCTCCACTTCCGAACCATCCCAGCGGCGGTACATGCCAGTGTCTTGAGTGGATAAGATTGGTGGTCCACCGATGTTTATTCGGTAGAGCATCTCTAGGGCAGTGTTGTTCTCTATGCGAAACTTGTTTTCTTCGGTGCATACTTTCTTGTTGTGCCTATTGGAGCTTGGGCCAGGAGTGTAGTAAAGATTGCTCGGCATGGATACAATTTCAATTCCGTTGATAAAGGCATACGCATCTGGACTTGCTGCCATGCTTGGAGAAAATGTGATGTTCAGGCTCTTTGTGTCATCAACGTTCAAACAGAACTCTCTGTACAAAGTGTCAACCCCATAAGCGTCTGCAGTGACTGAAGCATTGAAGTCGTGGAGAAAGGTAAAGCCACCGGCTTTGACAGAGAATAGTGCTTTGGATCTTTCGAAGTTAGGGCCATAAGAAACCGGGCGGAAATACAACCGGACGAACTTTTGGCCGGCAGTTTTGAAGGAAAATCTGTAAGTAAATTCAGAGTGAGAAAGCCGTGCCCAGGTATAAGGTACCTTGATGAAGGAGGAGGTGGACGATGGAGGGGCTTCTCTAACAATGGATTTGCTAGCAGCTTGGTGTTCTTCTAAGGGGGAGTATATCGAGTACATATCTCCAGTCCAATATTGCTTATCTTGCATTAGGGGGCCCGTATAGCCGCATGCAACAGTGATAAAGTCGACTGGAGTGTATACAAGCGACAAGTCGTCTTGGGCCACGAGTAAGGTAAGGATCATGAGCAGAAACAGTGGTGAGAGGAGAAGACGAGGCAAGCACGGTTTTATGGTTGTATAAACGTGTTTGCTGCTTGTAAAAACGTTCTTCATGATATATATATATATATAGAGAGAGAGAGAGAGAGAGAGAGAGAGAGAGAGAGATCAAATGGATGAGGGTGAGGGGTTGAACTAATGGCGATGGAGGATGAAGCTCGAAAATTGGTTATAATACGTAAGCTGGTTGGGTTTTTGTCTTCTTTTTCGTTATGAACTGTGTGTGAACATGAGAAATATACTTGTTTCTCTTTTGTCATAATTAAGTTTGAAGAAACTTCCTGGAAATTAATCTAAATAATTTTCTTTTCTTTTATTTAACATTTTTTTCTTTTGATAACGACGCAGGCGGTATCGATAAGCCAAGATTTTTGACAAACATAGTATTATTTCCGATTATTGATTATTTTTAAATGAAATTCTTATTTTACAATAAGTTAATAGAAAAGTTGACAGAGATAATGAAACTGACCATTTAGTGGAATGTAAGATCAAAATTAATTTTAAGATCTGAGAAACTATTATTAGTGTTCAGGAATCAAAATAAAACTCACTATACGATTCAGGGATCACTGCTATAATTTAATCAAATATTAATTACTTTGAGTTGGATAGGGTAGGATAGAAGTGCATATAGGTTCAATTATTTGCCAAATGTACATTAGTGGCATGTAGCCTTGTATTATTTCCATGTAGATCCAATCGTTGAAGATGCCAAATCAATAATGGCTCCGATCGCTGGAGTTTATCCTTCCCATGTGTGCTGCCAAGCCAACATCATTGCATACTGCTTAGCTCAATATGCCTTTAACACTGGTTGTTTTTGTTTTTTTGTTTTTTTTTTATTTAATTTGAAGATCTCCCGAAACCTCAATACTAATCTTTAATTGAAATTTGTTGCCTCTGTTCTCAGCATATATATATGTTCATGTCAGCATTTGTTAAGGTAAAGTCAGCATTAAAAAGTTAGTAGCTTAGCTTATTTTGAACGCTGACCATACCTAACAAATACTGACATGGAAAGAATACAAGCCTACATGTCACTCCACTAATATACATTTGGCAAACACAATTGGCTTTGTTTTGTTGCATGAGTACAATAATTGTGACTATATTCGATTCGTCTGTCCAAAGTCGTTGTGGAAAAAAAAGTCACTGTGGAAAAAAAAAAGGTTAAAAAAGAAGAGAGAAAGAAATGAGTTGTATTGAAGCATAACTAGGGCAGTTTCCGCTCTTTTTCCTTTTGTCACTCATATTGGAAGCGTATCTTCTTCTCACTGCAGTAGTAACTCCGACAAGAAAACTCATAAAACAATAATAAACTAAAAAGTACAGCAATTTTTCAACATTATTTGCTATAAAGATAGTGTGATGGAGATATCTGATGAATAATAAACATGAATCATGTGTTAAAGAAATCAACCCCATCTCATTGAAAGACCTACACAAATCTAGAATAAAGAATTCTAGAACATTCACTAAAGTTGGTTAGCTAGATTATCCAAGTTAAATTAAAGTAGTCATTTGTAGAAATGACAAGAAGGTTGTTTCTTAAGTTGGTGGAAGAGTCTAGAAGAATGGTGAGGTTTCCACCAACATGCAAGATTAGTGTAGATAATTCTAGCTTAGAAAGTTAGTGGAATTATCTAGATATCTCTAGTATGATGTTTCCAGGTTTCTCCAAGGTTCCATCCATGCCTATAAAAGGAGAAGGCATCCACACCATTTGTATCAACAATCAACAAGACAAGTAAGAATCAATCAATTAAGAAGACTAAGTGAGAGTGAGAAGTAGGAGTAGTCTTGTTAGGAGTGTGAGTGATCTAGAGTGTGTCTCTAGAAAGAGTGAGTGTCATTGCTTCTAAAGTGTCTTTGAGAGTTTTGTGTGTGTAATACAAGTAATTTTTTACTTATATTGTCTCTCCAACACTTGTGTTAGAGTTGTGTACTCTAAGTTTTTCCCAACAGCATGATGAAGTTAGTAGCTGAACTTGACATCTATCTAAAATTATTTGGCTGTTGAAATGAATAAATAACTATACATTGTTTAAAAGAAAAAAAGAAAGGAAATTGACTATGATAGAAGGTTTTTCAAACTTTGTTTGTTGAAATCGAAAGGCATGAACGATAGGGGGGAGAATGAAAAAAGTCTAAGGCATCCTTGTTTGTATAGCATACACCATGCAAGGTTTCGACTTTCCGATCGAAAAAAAAGGGGGAAGGAGAAGAGGAGTGAGAGTTTTATTAGGGTGTTTGCTGTTGGGGTTCTTCATGATTGTAAGAAAAACATAGGGTGAGGTGTTGCCTGTTTAACTTATTTTCTCACTGGAATTTGGAGTCTCTTGACGAAGCCGTTTACACTGCCTATTCGCATTATTTGTCTACACAAAGTCTGCGTAGAAAAAGAAAAAAAGAAAAAAATTGCGGTGAAAAATGATTAGGAGCAGTTTCCACACTTTTTCCTCCATCACTCACTCAATGTATATCTTCTTCGCACAGTAGGTGGTTCTTAAAAGGGACCCCGTCAATTCAATCAGAGGATGTGGTTGGAGAATGATACCGATCGAAGACTTGACTGAATTGCGTTCTTGATGCTGAGATAGGGACTTGAGTTATTTATTGTAGTTTATCTTCCTCACATTTTCATGCCTGCTTCATTTTTTCACATGCTACTTGGAAAACAAATTACTTAACCAGGAATTTAATTTTGTCCGAAGTCCAAATTAATTTATCTGCAATGGACTATTTAGTAAGGTTGTAAAAGACGCTAGGCCTAGTCGGGCAGTGAATTGAGGCCTAACGCATAGACGGTTAGGAGAGAGCTTAGTCCTCACTAAGCAGATTTAAGTAAATTCGTTTAAATAAGTGTCTATCAATACTTGCAAAAAAACATAATTGTATTGGAACATTAAATTACAAAGTAAATTTATTATATATGGTTGTATAAACGTGTTTGCTGCTTAACGTTCTTCATGATATATATATATATATATATATATATATAGAGAGAGAGAGAGAGAGAGAGAGAGAGAGAGAGAGAGAGAGAGAGAGAGAGAGATGAAATGGATTAGGGTGAGGGGTTGAATTAATGGCGATGGAGGATGAAGCTCGAAAATTGGTTATAATACGTACCTGGTTGGGTTCTTGTCCTGTTTTTCATTATGAACTGTGTGTGAACATGAGAAATATACTTGTTTCTCTTTTGTCATAATAAACTTTGAAGAAACTTCCTGGAAATTAATCTAAACAATTTTCTTATCTTTTATTTAACATTTTTTTTTCTTCTTATAACGATGCTGGCCAGTATCGATAAGTCAAGATATTTTACAAACATAGTATTATTTCCAATTATTGATTATTTTTAAATGAAATTCCTACTTTACATTAAGTTAATGGAAAAGTTGATAGAGATAATGAAACGGACCTTTAGTGAAACATAACATCAAACTTAATTCAAAGACATGAGAAACTATTATTAGCGTTCACGAACCAAAACAAAACTCGCTATACGATTCTATGACCGCTGCTGTAATTTAATATAATATTAATTACCTTGAGTTGGATAGGGTAGGATAGAAGTGAATATAGGTTCAATTTATTTGCCAAATGTACATTAGTGACATGTAGGCTTGTATTATTTCCATGTCAGCAATTTTTTTTTAAGAGAAACGAGGCTTTCAAGAAGATTGAAGATAATGAAGAATTTGGGGCTGCTTGGGATATAGACATGAAGGTTAGAGGCATTGGAAGAATAATTTGAGACGGAAACGGAGAAAGCATTTGTTGAGGTACAGTAAGCATTAGAAAGTTAGTAGGTTAACCTATTTAGAACGCTGACCGTACCTAACAAATATTGAAACGGAAATAATACAAGCCTACATGTTGCATGAGTACAATAATTGTGATTGATTTGTTGCATGCAAATCGTGAAGTATTTCGATTTGTCTGTTCAGAGTCGTTGTGGAAAAAAAAAAAAAAATGGTTAACACAGAAATGAAAAGGACTTGCGTTGACGCATCACTACAGCAGTTTCCATTCTTTTTCCTGTCACTCATATTGGATGTATATCTTCTTATTTGCTATCGAGAGAGTGTGATGGAGATACGTCCCGAACGATGAATAATCAACATGAATCATGATGAAGTTAGTAGCTGAAGTTGACATCTACCTAAAATTATTTGGTTGTTGAAATGAAAAATAACCATAGATACTGTTCATAAAAAAAATGGAATTGACTATGATAGAAAAAATTTCGAACTATGGTTGCTAAAATCGAAAGACATGAACTATAGGGGTAGAATTGATATTTCACCACCATTTTTGCCCAACGAAAGAAATCCGAAATATGCGTTTGTGTAATATGTATATGGATATTGTGCATATGCATATTGCTATTTCCTGTAGGCCAATTTGGCAACTTTTTGCTCAATCTCATATGGAGTAAAATTCTCATCAGTACGAGTGAAGAGAATGGCCCTTGTTCTTTGATTTCCATATAAAGGAAGAGATTTATCTTTGTCATGACTATCTGCCAAGTTGCTGAGCCACAAGTTACTAGACTACGTGCCGAAGCCCAAGAATGCGTGGTAATGGACGGGGTGGTTCGATTTGGTGTCCCTTATGCTTACTTCGGCTGAGGTCATATTGTCAAAGGTCTCGGAAAAAGGTACAATCTGCAGTGTTAGATGTTATGTACTCTTTAAATGGATAAAGAGGCTTTAGTATTTCATTGCCCGACGGTGCAGAGGTATTTCTTCCAATTCTCGTTCATCCACTATTATATTAATGTTTGCTTGAAGTCCCTTAGCCTAATTCCTTCAAAATTCTGCATGTGTTTTTGGTCAATTACTAAGATGCGTACCATTGTAGAAATCGAAATTGCTAATTTTCTTTAAAATGTTCTTGTTATCAATATTGGATGACATGGACTTAGTGTCAACTTATTCAATTAATAACGACAATCAAATGCCATTTTAACGGTATTGTAATTGCTAATCGTACACAAATTCATGTATTTTTTTTTTTTTCCTTCCAGATCTTGAGTGCATATTTGCTGTTATCTGCAATGTTGTTACAAAGTCTGAAAGTCCAGATGAAGCACTGGAGATGGCAAAACTTACATCCTCAAAGATTCCTCAAATACCAAGTGACAAGCCTGCATTGCGCTTAAAAGATGTATGATACCATAGTGATCATGACTATGACCTTTTTCTTTTCTTCTTTTTATTTTTTATTTTTTATTTTTAATATACTTCTGACCATTTTCGTTTTTTTACAGTTTGTTCAATCTGTACAACCTACTGGAGAATCCATATAGCCGGTTAGTCTACTTGAGTGCTTAATTTGGCTATCAATCGGAAGGTCACTGAACATGTCATCCCTTCATTCAAAAATATGGAAAGTTTTTTGGAAGAGTGGAATATTGGGATCTCTGATCAGAGGCAGTTATTTCTGACCATCGTTAATGTTCTGAAAGAACACAAAAAGTATGCTTTGTGATCTTTTCTCTATATAGACATGTCTCTCCTCGATTTGTTTTAAGAACAATTACTTGTATTTTCTGTTGTATTTTTAGCTTGGCAAAGGAGTCTTTCAAATTCCTGACCAAGTACTTGGCGACTTTTTCTGGTGAAGATGTGCATACATTGTGGAATTTGTGAAGGCCCCAGACATGCTTCAGGTATTTTTGTAGGATCTTGTGGAATCTCAAAGATTTTTTTAAACTAATTCTTTACTCCATGTTTCTCTTTGGTGACTGTTCATCCTATTTTTATGTGGTGGAGTTTAGAATCGACTCTTTATAGACATTATTGTTTTTCTGGCATTTTGAAGAAGCTACTATGCTTCTTCTGCAGTTACATATAATATCTGTATAAACACGACGGAGTGCTGGTTTAATATCATCACTTCCAAACAACTGGGTGTTTGGCATTTGGCTCTGATGATCAAATTCCCCCCTTCCATTAGGCATTTAGATAACCGATATGTTGGTTTTGTTATGCTTCAGTGCGACTTGCTAAATATGCCTGCTGTAGAGCAACTGGAGACCGATGCTAAGCATGCATTGGCATATCAGCTTATGAAGATCTTTCTGACTAAGAGGCTGGATGCTTACTTGGAGTTTCGGGCTGCAAATTTTGATTTACTGAAAAGCTACGGTAAAGTTTAGTTTCATCTGACTGTGTTTTCTTCGGATTATATACGTTTTTCTGTTTGTCTAAATTATGCTTTCTGAAATGTTATAGGTCTTGTCCATGAAGACTGCTTAACTAAGATGAGGTTGATTTCCTTGATGGATCTTGGTTCTGATGAATCTGGACGGATTCCTTGCGGTGCTGTCAGAGATATTCTGGAGGTTAGGTTGGCTTACCTTTCTCGTCCCAGAAGTTTTAATCTGACATCATGGTTAATTATGCTTCTGCACTTCTTTTTGGCAGATTAATGATAACGAAGTTGAACTTTGGGTGGTAAAGGCAATAACTGCTAAGTTGATGGACTGTAAAATGGACCAGATGAATCAAGTGGTGACTGTGAGGTTAGTTTGTGTTTCGTACCTTCTGCGTACACACAAAGATGCATATAGTTGTTTATTCATTCTTTTAGGCTTCTTTGTTCTTGAACTGAATTGGTCTTTCATCTGCAGCCGCTGTACTGAGAGAGTATTTGGGGAAGAACAATGGCTTACACTAAGAACAAAGTTACCAACTTGGAGGGTAAGTAACTTCAACTGCTTTTTCATTTTTAACTGACCACTAAGAACCGATTCATTGCTACGGTATAACAAACCACCCTTTGTATTTCATTGTCCATAAATCTTCGTTAGATGATCGTATCTTGACAGAGTTTCTCATTGTCAGGGTAATATTGCAAACGTTATCAGCACCATTCGAGCTAACAGGATAGCTGATGATGGATCACAGGCAGTGCAAGGCTTAGTTATTCGTTAGAAACTTACGGATCTTAATGTAGGTGCTTGATTGACTTACGAGAGTTTGAACGAACGAGTGTTATTGATTCCCCGCTATTTTGGAATTGGATCAAATGTTTTGAAAATTTTGACAGGAAAATAGTCTTGTGTTGGTTACAAATGGTATATCATTGTACTCTTGCGAAATGATGATCTACTGCTTATATCAGTAGTAACTTTTGTTGCGTTTAACAGGAAAATTCTCTTGTCCGGAAGTTATAATGGAGCATATTCCTGTCAAATTGGGGATCGTATGAAATTGCTTTTGTAAGCACTTGTGTTGACAAGTGCTTTTATTAAAAATACACAAGGTTTTACTAAAATCAGTGTGTTTCTTGGAAAAATGCTTGGGAGTGCTTTTTAGAGAAGCACTTGGCATGTGCTTGTTTAGAAAACGCTTATATCTAGAAGCACTTTTAAGTTTCTCCCGCTATTGTGTGGTCGTAAGTGCAATCAATTTGTAGAAATAGTTCTGCAATATAATGCAATGGCAGACGCTGCAAGTGATTCAGCATTTAATTGGGTTCAAACACAGTATATAAGAAAAAACATACTCATATCATGGTCAGGCTTACCCATAGCCTTTAAGTCTAGCCAGATTACTTTAATGTTGCTCATCATCTCCCATTCGGATTGTTGATCTCTGAGAAGATCATCTCAGATATGCACTGAACGGATTCATTCGTAGCGCAACCTGGCACACTAGCAACGGCATCCTCGTTGTTCCTTTCACCGCAGTTCTGATGTTGTTGCAATGCAAACTTAAGCCCCCTCATAACGTCGTTCAATGAAGGCCTTTCCATCCTACTATCATTGATGCAACTCATAGCAATTTCCACATACTTGTTCAAACACTCGATTTCAATCTTACCCTTCATGTTCTGATCAATGATTTGACCAAGTTCCCCGTCGCGATGACAGCTCTTGGTCCACTCAGCTAAGTTCATTTGCCTCGTCTCCACTGCATGCACCACAATTGGTCTTGCGCACAATACTTCACACAACAGTGCACCGAATGAGTACACATCGGACTTCACTGTCAGTTGTTGACGTCGGTAGTATTCTGGGTCTAGATTCCCGAAACTGCCTTTCACGGCCGTACTGATGTGGGTCTTGGACATGGTGGTCGTGTCCATTTTTGACAATTCAAAATCCGAAACCTTGGCCACCCATTTCTCATCCAATAAAATGTTCATGCTCTTCACGTCACAGTGGATGATAGTGCCCTGGGCATCGCTGTGTAGGTAGCACAAACCTCGCGCGGCGCTAATGCAAATTTGGAGCCGTTATCCCCAGGAGAGAGGTGGGTTGTCGGTGTGGTAGAGGTGATCATCGAGGGTCCCACGTGCCATGTAATCGTACACCAAAATCATCTCATTTTTATTAGTACAATACCCAATTAGAGACACCAAATGACAGTGTCTGAGTTGCGACAGCAGCTCAATTTCCGTCTTGAACTCACAGGCTCCCTGAGATGACTCGAGTTTCAGCCGTTTGATCGCAACGGGAGTGGCCCCACCATCGATATGCCCTTTGTAAACGTGACCGAAGCCGCCAACACCAACAACGAAACTCTGGCTGAAGTTTTGGGTGGCGGCTTTGATCTCCGCCAGTGAAAAGTAACGACACAAATGTGTTGGTAAAGATTATGACCTATTTGAGGCAGGGCCCTTGACTCTGCGCCGCCGCCTAAAAACCAAGAACCCAAGAACAGAGAGTCCAAGTATTCCGCAGGCTACACCGACAACCGTGGCAAGCAAAGGAGTTCTTGATCTGGTGCTAGGTTTTGATGGTGTCCCCTTTGCTGGGGCTATAGGAGGTGGGTCAGGGCTTGGTCCGGCGAGATTCCAATTTGCACTGAGTTTGAACATTTCGAGTCCGTTCAAGATTGTCACCCGGTACCTATTCAACAAATCCGATTCCAATGCAAGAAAGAGATTGACTTTCTTCGGGATTGCAGGGTTCCTCGACATGAACACAACGTAGTCTCTGTACACTGGTCTTTCATTTCCACCACTCCACTCGATTATATCCGCCATTTTCTCAGCGGATTGATTGGTGATGTAGATGTTAAATACACAGTCTCCCAACGTCACTAAATCATCAAACTCACAAAAATGAAGCCTAACCAAGTAAGCAAGCATTGAATCCACAGGGAATTCCCAAGTGAGATTGTACCCGTTGATTCTGGTCTCGCTTGAGTCCATTGAGTGGCCGGTTTGGTAAACTTCTTTCGGAGCAGAGTACTCTGGTATTTTAGAAAAGTGAAGGTGAATGATACTGTTTCGTAGTAAAATACTAGAATTACTTGAATCGTTTCCCGAACCATCCCAATTGCGGCTCATACCATTGTCCTGATCGGGATAGATCAGCCTTTCACCACCGATATTGATTCGGTACACCATCTCCAGAGCAGTGTTGTTCTCGATGCAAATTGTCTTTTCACTGCCTACAAGAGCAACCCCATCCGGGCTCTAGGGTGAAGTGTAGTAAAGATATGGGGGCATGGAGATAATTTCAATCCCATTGATAAACAACTAGGCATCTGGGCTTGCTTTGCTTGGAGTGAACGTGATATTCAAATTCTGTCCTGACTCAGTGTAGAGGCAGAACTCTCTGTACATGGTATCCGAGCCAGAAGCATCAACAGTGACCGAAGCGTTGAAGTCGTGGAGAAGGGTAAAGCCACCGGCTTTGACTGAGAAGAGAGCTTGGGATCGGTTGAAGTGGGGGGCGTATGAAGCTGGGTAGAAATACAAGCAGATGAACTTAAAGACACACATTATTCTTCTCAGTCAACCCAACAGCCAACAGTGCTAAAGTCCATTGCTTAGTCCTTAAGTTTTCTATTGTAACTAATTCATAGATTAAGCTTAATTAGTTACATTAGTAGTTAACTAATGTTATTAGTTACTGTGTATAAATACATCCAATGTAACCCAGTTTCATTTAATGAGAATATATTTCTAACATGGTATCATCCCTTTTTCGCTTCACTGCTTTTTCTCCGATCCTCTTTTTCTTCGTCGCTCCCTGTGTTCTCTGATTTCTTCGATCTTTGATCCACTCTTTTCACTTTCTTGTGGATCTTGATCGATATCACCTTCTTTTCTCCTCTCTGATTTGTTTTTCGATGCCTTCGTCGAGTTCATCTCCCATGAATCTTGATGTTCTTGCCCCAAATTCGTCCCCGATGAACCCTAATTTTCCTCCGGTTCAGTCTTCTCCCTCAATTTCTTCGATTTCGATCCAGAATATCAGCTGTATGGTTCCTACCAAGCTTAAACGGGACAACTATCTTGTTTGGAAGGCATTGTTTGCTCCAATTTTTCGTCGCTACAAGCTTACCGGGATTGTTGATGGATCTGAACTTTGTCCCTCTCCTTTCTTACTTGATGATTCTGGCAAGCTCACTGCTACTCCAAATCCAGATTTCGATCTATGGTATGAAAAGGATCAAAATATCCTTATCTGGCTCAATTCTACTCTTTCGGAGGATCTCATTCCGTTCACCGTTGGTGTTACTTCCTCTCGCGAGCTGTGGTTAAATCTTGAACAAAGATTCGGCGACGTTTCTGCTGCTCACATTCACCAGCTTCGCTCTCGCCTGCATACTGTTCAACAAGGGGATCTTGCGATTTCTGAATACATTCAGCTCATCAAATCAATCTCTGATGCACTCATGGCTGCCGGTGCTCCGATCTCTGAAAGTGATTTAATTGCAGTCACTCTTAATGGCCTTTCTGATGACTATGAGTCATTTGTTGACTCAATTCTGCTTCGCATCTCTTCTACCTCCTTGGATGAACTCCATGGCCTACTGATTAACAAGGAATTGTTCGTGCAGCGCAAGAAGAAACCTGTTGTTTCTGAACCCTTTCAGGCCTATGCGGCTCAATCTCCCCAATCTCAGCCGCCTCTTCTTCCCACACCACAGGGCTATTCTGCTCCAAGGCAATTTCATCGTGGCAAATGATCTTATCGCGGCAATACTTCTCGTGGCACCAACTATAGGGGCAATAACTATCGTAGCAACAACTTTCGAGGCAACAACTATCGCAGCAATTCTGGCAATTCTGGCAGTTATCCTCGATCTTCTAGTTACTCCCATGGTCATCGTGCTTCCTGCCAAATCTGTCATTCCCCTGATCATGATGCTCTGGATTGCTTCGAACGCATGAATCATGCCTTTGCTGGTAAAATTCCTCCTGCAAAATTGGCTGCTATGTGTGCTCAGACTCATCTCCCCTCTTCTGCTCCCACTTGGCTCATGGACTCCGGTGCCACATCTCATATCACCAATGATATCTCTGCTCTTCATTCTCCAGCGCCGTATAATGGTCAGGACAAAGTTTATATTGGTGATGGTCAAGGTATGCCCATCCACCATACTGGTAGTTCTTTTCTCACTACTCCTGCTGCAACTTTTCATCTGAATAATGTTTTACATGTTCCTGCCATGAAACATAATCTCCTTTCTGCGTATCAATTCTTACGAGACAATCACTGCAACTTAACTCTTGATTCTAATGGTTCTACAATCAAGGATCGTATGTCGGGGAGGATGCTTTTCCGAGGGCCCGTTAAAGATGGGTTCTATCCCTTTCAAGGTCTTCCTCCAGCATCTAATTCTTCTTTTGCTCTTGTCAGTAGCAAGGCTTCTCTACCAGTTTGGCACAATCGACTCGGCCACCCCTCCTCTGCTATTTTTCGCAAGGCTTTACATAATGGTTCTATAGTTTACAGTGGTAAAAAGTTCACTTCTTTCTTTTGTTCTGATTGTGCAATTGGTAAGAATCACAAATTGCCTTTCACTGCAAGTCTCAGTTCTGTCTCTGTGCCTCTAGAACTTGTTCATTGTGATGTTTGGGGACCTGCCCCTACTTTGTCTGTTACTGGTTATAAGTACTATGTGTTGTTTGTTGATGAATTCACCAAGTACAGTTGGTTGTTTCCTTTAAAGCTCAAGTCTGAGGTGTTCTCAGTATTTGTCTATTTCAAGGCTTATGTAGAAAACTTGGTTGGTAATAAAATCAAAGTTCTTCGATCAGATTCTGGGGGTGAGTTCACCAGTTCTTGTTTTAATTCGTTTCTTCTGCAACATGGCATTTTGCATCAATATTCCTGCCCTCATACACCGGAACAAAACGGTTGTGTTGAACGAAAACATAGGCACCTGGTTGAGACTGCTC